GCCGTCCCCAGATCCTCTCAGATCGCTCGTAGCTCCACCAGGCTCAAGCATAGACAAAACCTCCCACCTACCAAACACGCAACCGGCCGAGATATACCCCAAAACACCACGATGAGCGATTCTAAATCCCCCAAACCCGTCTCCGTCCTATTTGTCTGCCTAGGAAACATCTGTGCGCATTCCCTCCCCCATACCCTCACACCCACCCTCTAACACCCCACAGGCCGTTCAACAATGGCAGAAGGCGTCTTCCAATCCCTCACCACCAACCCCCCACACCCCCTCATCTCCACAATCGACTCCTGCGGCACCGGCGCCTACCACCTCGGCTCCAGCCCCGACTCCCGCACCATGGCGACCCTCCGCAAAAACGGCATAACCTCCTACCGTCACTCGGCGCGCAAATTCTCCCCTAGCAGCGACTTTGAAAAGTTCGACTACATACTCGCCATGGACGATGAGAATCTAGCGGATTTGGAGGCGTTGCGCCAGAGGGAGTTGAAGAAGGCCGATGTGGATGAGGAGAGTGTGGGGAAGGTTATGTTGTTTGGCGAGTTTGGGGGGAAGATGAGGAAAGGGAGGAGAGGAGAGAAGGGCGAGGAGATTGATGATCCGTATTACGGGGGTGATGATGGGTTTAGGGTTGCGTATGAGCAGTGTGTTAAGTTTGGGAAGGAGTTTCTGGAGAGGCTGGAGAGGGGGGAGTTGAGCTGAGATGGGGCATGGACTGGGGCATGGAGATAAGTTCACGTTATGGTAGGAAGATGGTATTGTGTGGAGTGGTTGTGTGTGTTTAGATACCCCATAGACTGGCCATAGGCTAATTATGCATGTGAAATTCGATTACGAACGACTCTGATAAGTCGCGCTACTTCCTCCTGGGTATATTCCTTCGTCGTGTCGTTCGTTACGTTACGAGTTCCGCTTGATCTGCCTTTCTAAATCTAGTAGCTTCTCTACCATCTTTCCGCGCATGAAGTCGGTCAATCCGAGACTGTCTGTGTGTTAGCAACGTGCTCGCATGTTCCGCCTCGGGGGGTATACTCACATTCCTTCCCTCGTCACAACCCGGTACGTCCCGCTGTTCTGCCAGCCTCCATCACCTCCACTGACTTGTCCATTGGAGTCGACCTCTACACTGCCGAAAATGTCCTCCGGCCACGCGATGCGACCATAATCTGGTGGGTTCCTCAAGTCACTGATATGTATCCATCCTCCGTGGCCTGCACCTCCCGCTCCGCCTTGGTGGTTCGCGCCGCCTGCGCCATCATTCGGTTGTGAGAGGTGGAAGCCGCCCGGCGACGCGTAGACGGCGGCTTGGGATTGTACGTAAGGATCTTCGACAGCATGTGTCGCGAACACGGAGGAGAGGATAGGGAGGAATTGCGGGTTCTCGGTGAAGTTCTGCGGCGTTGGAGGGAGCGCGGTGCAGGAGCCTATGGCAAGTTGTGGTGTGGGAGGTTCGGTGGGCAGCAGTGATAGCAATCTTTTGCTCGGATCGAACGGATCTTTATGTACGTACTGAATTGGGTAAGTAGTTGCCTTTCTGACAGCGCGAAGTACATACGATGTGTGGGTTCTCTGCTAATGTCGACGCCTGTCGCGCGCCTCGAAGACGAAGCGTTTGCGCAGACGGACGTATCCGGCGCGATGAGCGCACGAATGTGTTCGCGAGCATCTGATATAGTACGGGACACATGAGGATATGCAATTGTAAGATTTGAGGGTATGTTTACTCTGGTTGCTGGGAATGGGTCTGATATATTCAGATGGTAGATTACTAACAATGACGAGGTTTCGGAAGTCCCGCTTTAGCGGCAGATCGAGCCGCCCATCGACCCTTCCGTCTTAGTTCGTTTCGCTGAAAAGTTACTTCAGCCACAGGCACGTTCAGTACCGCACCTGGGCATATCCGGGATAGCTCAAACAAATTTGCTATGAGTCCTAGATCGTGCAGTACAGTAAGCCCGTGTGGACCCTGGGTGAGTATTGCTGGTTGTCATGTACCCAAGTCTCGACCGCCGGCCATGATCATTCCCCAAACCATTACTAGCGTTACCCCACTAGCCATGCAAAATGTTTGAATGGGCGAATGGGAGTACGGACGCAGTTCGAGCGGGAGCCGAACGGTGTATCGGCTTAAGTAAGTAGGAAGGTGTTTTACCGTGGACTATCTCTTCGCCTTCGGCTCATCATTTCTTCTCGTGCTGCGTCAGTCGTACAACATGGCTTCAGATGCTGGGGAGATAGCTCCTATCGAGAAGAGGGTCGGAGAAACTAGCGATGCGAAGCAGACAGGGCTGCATCGGGATGCCGAAGTCGGTCCTGAGATGATCGATATCGATAGAATCGAAAGAGTCTATTCGTAAGTCACACATTTCTCATCACGAATTATGCTGACAGTCGCCCAGCAAGCTCGATCGCCGGATACTTCCAGCATTCTGGATTCTTTACTTTATATGCTCGGCGATTCGCTCCAATATCGGACTTGCTCAGACTATGAACCTGGCTGAAGGTCACGATCTGGGATCGGTACTCAACATCACACCCAAACAGGTCTCTACTGGTCTGGCGCTGTTCTACGTCTGCTATGTCATCTTCGATCTTCCCTCCAATCTCGTCATGTCAAGGGTTAGCCCGCATGCATGGATGAGTCGCATCGTGACCTGCGTTGGTATCATTGGCATGTGCCTGACGGCTATGAACGCTGCCTGGAATCTTTAGTAAGTCGTGAAGACACATGATTTTGAACGAGACTGACAGCAGCCCAGCCTCCTTCGACTACTCCTTGGTATCGTTATTGCAGGCATGTGGCCGGGTATGTCATACTACCTGACTCTTTTCTATCCTCCGTCTCGTACCGGCAAGCGTATCGGGCGCTACTTCACAGCATCTCAAATGTCCGCGGCGGTTGTGGGTTTGGTCTCGGCTGGCTTCCAGAAGATGGATGGAGTAGGTGGACTAGTTGGTTTTCAGTGGATGTTCCTTCTGTACGGTATCGTCGGCTTCATTGTCGGCATATCGCTACTGTGGTGGCTTCCTGACAGGCCACTACCCCCAGGCGAAGTACGCCAGCGAACTGGATGGATGAAGTGGCTGCCAGAAGGCAGACCAGCCCTGGAAGGTGAAGACGCCCGCATTCACTACGAGGATCTCACCCGCGTATACAGTCGCAAGCTGTGGACGATGAAAGATCTCTGGCACGTCGTCATCGACTGGAGGATATACCCTCTCGTTGTCATGTACTTTGGTGTAGTGGGTGTTGGGAACGGAACACAGGCATACGCGACTGTCATCATCCGCGGCATCAACCCGAGCCTCACAGGTATCCAGCTAAGTTTGCTCTCAGCACCCATCTGGATTGTAAGTGCCCGAAGTCATCTGGGGTAATTGAGGCTGACTATAACAGATGGATCTGATCGCTATTCTAATCGTGACGCCCTTCTCGGACCGTTTCCACCACCATCGACCTGCCTTCTTTAGTGCTGCTGTTGTGATACAGATCGCTGGTCTTCTGATTGCTACCTTCGCCAAAGACTGGTCGCGTTACGGTGGCGTCCTACTGATTGGCTTCGGACTTGGGCCGACAGTGCCGATTTGCATGGCCTGGTCCAACGAGATCTTCCAGCCCCGCCACGGAGAAGTGGGCGTAGCGGCAGCCGCCGCACTCGTCTCTGGACTTGGTAATCTGGGGAGTATCCTCACAACCTACGCACTATATTCTGGGTGGCCTGAAGATGCCAAAGACGGCCCGCACAAGTATCGCAACAGCAACTTTGTCATGATTGCCATCCTGTGCGCCAGTATACTCAGCGCAGGGAGCATGGTCGTCTTGTTGAGGGTGTTTGGAAACGGCAAGGGCAAACAGATCAGTAGTGCAAGCTCGACTAGCGAGGGCGAGGCTGCATACGTCGACGGTGCTGCCCGGCGCGAGGTCCAACAGAGGGGACTCGGTCGAATGTTCTGCTTCCGATGAGATGATGAACGGGTGGAGTAGAGTCCTGCAGCCGTGATTGGCAAAGTGGCATGTATGGAGAAGCTTAGCTGGGGATGGACTTTTGGGAATGCCCATGGGGCAGCGGTCACGAGGACGTGGAGGGCTCGCGTGGAGGCGGGAGCGAGCTGTGCTTCATGCAAGTCAACATGTGCGGGCTGACTGCTGTAACACACGCGATGGAAGCACTACAGTAGATAATAACTTGGTCCGATCCGGGTCTCCGTTTGCTCGTGTCATTGCGATTGCCCTTGCAGCCGTGACGGGGTGCGATAGGCGCGGCGGGCTGGTCAACCGCAGGCAGAGCCAAGAGGGGCTTCACGATACCCCAAGCTCCGTCACTTTTTGCGCCTAGTCCGCTTCCCCATAACTCCATCTTTTTCTTCACCTAGCGGAGCCCTGGCCCGCGTACAAATCCTCCCACCCTCCGCCCTCGACCGCAGACGCACTCCGTGTCTCACCAGGCCGCACCCCGCTACATACAGCATCGCTCCACTGCAGCCGTCCATCTCGCAATCGATAACCCGTGTCACCGGCCTGCACCCTCCCACCGCTCCGTCGCACGCCGCCGCCGCCGCCGCCCGCACGCCCATCGTGTACCAAACTCCTCCCTCGCCTTACGCCTGTTTGATGGTGGCCCTCGCCGCGTCGTAGCGGGGCAGTGAGCCAAGCGCCGTCGACTCCCAGCACCGAGCCCCAGAACCACGGCTTGCGCGCCCCGCTGTAAAGCAGCAGACAGCAGTGACGTAAGTAGCTCCTCCCTTGTCTCCCCAGTCACCCGTTGCACGGGCGGAAATGAGCTCTCCCAACAGGCGCGCCCGTCTTCACATGCTTCTGATGCCTCCCGCCCGTTTGGCTCAGCCCTGCATCGGCACACCTGCTCACACTACATGTACAGTCCCCGCCGACGACCACCACCGAACACCCCGGCTAAGGCTTCAGCCAGCGCTCCGACGCACGACACGCCCCACTCTCCCACCGCCGTCGCATTCATACCACGCCCACCATGTCGGCCGCAATCGATAACGAGGACCTCGAGGAGCTCTCCATCTCCATGCCCGCCCAGCGGCGAGGAGCGGGCGCAGCAAGCACCACCAGGGCCAATGACCAGGCCGTCGCGCCGCCCACTGCGCTCGGTACAGCCGTGCAGGAGAGCAAGAGCAAGGACTCCAAGGCGAACCAGCGCCTCGGACAGTATACCATAGTCAGGACACTCGGTGAGGGCTCGTTCGGTAAGGTCAAACTGGCCACCCACCAGGTCAGCGGCCAGAAGGTGGCGCTCAAGATCATAAACCGCAAGCGCCTGGTCACTCGAGACATGGCAGGCAGGATAGAGCGCGAGATCCAGTACTTGCAGCTGTTACGGCATCCTCATATCATCAAGCTGTGGGTTATTTGCATGTTTGTGAACTTCATGTACTGATTGTCCATAGCTACACCGTCATAACCACGCCGACGGAAATTATTATGGTCCTCGAGTACGCCGGTGGTGAGCTGTTCGACTACATCGTCAACCACGGGAAGCTGCAGGAAGCCCAGGCCCGCAAGTTCTTCCAGCAGATCGTATGCGCCGTCGAATACTGCCACAGACACAAGATCGTCCACCGAGATCTGAAGCCAGAGAACCTCCTACTCGATGACGACAGCAACGTCAAGATCGCCGACTTCGGACTGAGCAACATCATGACAGACGGCAACTTTCTCAAGACGAGCTGCGGAAGTCCAAACTACGCCGCGCCCGAAGTTATATCCGGAAAGTTGTATGCGGGTCCAGAAGTCGACGTCTGGAGTTGTGGTGTCATCCTCTACGTTCTCCTAGTGGGCCGACTACCCTTCGACGACGAGTATATTCCGACGCTGTTCAAAAAGATCGCTGCTGGGCAGTACAGCACCCCAAGCTATCTATCCCCGGGCGCTACGTCTTTGATCAGGAAGATGTTGATGGTCAACCCCGTACACCGCATCACGATCCCCGAACTACGGCAAGATCCCTGGTTCACCAAAGACCTGCCTCCGTATCTCGAACCACCTGCCCAGGATTTCTTCGACAGTGGGGCGGATCCGAATAAGGCGATCGATCCTAAGGCACTCGCGCCGTCGGCCGATGCTCCTCGTGTACAGGCGCTGCACGAGAATGTCGTGTCGAAGCTCGGCAAGACTATGGGTTACGCAAAGCATGACGTGCAAGATGCATTGGCACGCGATGAGCCTAGTGCGATAAAGGATGCCTACTTGATCGTTCGCGAGAACGAGATGATGCGGAAGAATCGTAAGCCACCCTCTCTGTTAACTTGTACGCGGCTAACAATCGGTTCTAGCCTTGTTGACGGGTCCTGAATGGGATCAAATGTCGCCTCCTACGCACGACAGTCATATGGACCGATTCCGGCCTCAGTCCTTGAACGCTGCTTCTCGACCCCAATTCATACCGCCATCGAACTCGGAACACGAACGGGCACGTCAAGGATCGAACGCCAGCAGCCAACTCGCAAATATAAGAAGTCCTGTGAGCACAGTCGCTATCTTGCCAAGCAGTCTCACAGAATACCACAAAGCCTACATGAAAGGTCACCCGAGACCACTCAGCAGGGTCCAAGACAATGATGGTCTCCCACCAACTCCAGAACAGACTGAAGAACAAAGGCAGATCTCAGCGAGAAGGCTGAAGCCAAACTTCCGCACGATGCCAGAAGCAGGCAGAAACAAGCCCGAGCCTATGACGAGTCTGCCAGCCAAGAAGCCTCGAGCGACCAAGTGGCAGTTCGGTATAAGGTCGAGGAACCAGCCTGCAGAGGCTATGCTTGCTATTTTCAAGGCTCTGAAAGCCATGGGCGCCGATTGGGAAGTACCTAAAATACGCCGAGCAGGTGGCAGGAGCGGATCCCGCAGCCGTAGTACTTCTCAGAACCCTGATGACCGCTCACCGCCGAAATCGCGAAGCCATTCGCAAGATTCGATATCATCGCATTCATCGCACGAAGACCAGGGAGCTAGGGTAAATTCACCACATCGTGAGCCGCTTACCGTACGTAACAAGGACACGAATGAGCAGGAGACGAGAGGTCGACAGAAGAGGCACTACAACCACACCAACGACTGGGGCTACCACGTGCCAGAAGATCCATGGGTCATCAACGCCCGCTTCCGCAAAGAAGGCATGTTCCCACCCGGTGTCGCACATCCGTCTTCCACGCACTCGTCGCGTGTCGATCTCGCCAACGACCCCTCGGGGCTTCGCAGGCGCAGTTCCACCAACGCAAGTGCATCAAGTATCAGTCACGGCATAGAAGGCCTGACTCCATCTGAGCGTGCAAACTCCATCAGCGAAGAACACCCCTACCCCGACGAAGCAGTCTGGATCTACATGTCCATTCAACTGTACAGTATCGACCGCGATTTCTTCGTCGTAGACTTCAAATGCGCCGGCTACGAACGTCTCGTGTCCAACCTCGTCCGCGAAATCAAAGCGACCCCCTCCCTCGACACATTCGCACTCTCCTCAAGTCACCAGAACCCACACCAAGACGGATGGGACGACGAACAAGGCATTTGGCGCAGACTGGGTGAGGGTGAACCGCTACCCGAGGACCTGGCGAATAAGCTTCGCGAGGGAGGAACGGATATCCTACGAGAGCGGACGGAGCTTGTCGGTGCGGGACGACAGGAGGGAGAGAAGATTGTCACTAGTCCCTTTCCTTTCTTGGACGTCGCTAGCACCCTTATTCTGCAGTTGAGCGGGGAGTAAGTCACCAAGCATGTCATGACACGGATAGAGGTGGCGTTGTTGGAACGACGGGATATGCATAGCACAGGTTCCGTGAACGTATAGACCGCTTATAGAGGGCAAATGTACGGATGAGGCTTTGATACCAGTGTAGTATAAGTACACTCAATATATCTTGTTAGATCAACTATGTCGTTTCTCTAGTGAACAGCACGTTTGTCTCGAGTGCAGTAACAGTAATCATCGTACATCAACTACCATTCATACATTTACAACTACACAACCACCAGGAGCAGGAGAGCTATCGCATCAAAATAAACGCCCATTGTTGTTACTCTCTTTGACGCATATTCCATTTCTCCTTCGGCCAACTCATTTCATGGAGGAGCTTTCCAAACTTCTGCAGTTCCGCACACTCGGAGTGCCCAATACTAAATACATCATTTTGGAACAAAGGGGTGAGAAGAGCGTAGAAGAGGGGGATGGAGAAAAGGTGTGTATCATGGTTTGATCGAAGGAAGGAAGGAAGTAGGGTGTTTATCGCATGCCGCCGAAGCCACCGCCAGCCGCGCCCATGGCACCTAGTCTCGAAGCGAGCTTGGGGTACTTTTCTTGCACCTAATAGCGAGAGTTAGCATTTGCTTCGGTGTGAAGTGTGGATCCTGTGGCTTACCTCAAGTTGTGTCCTGGTTGCCTCGGCGTAGCTGAGAGCGTTGACGATTTCGCCTTCTGTCCTCGACAGCTCGGCCGCACGCTCAAAGTACTTGAGCGCCTCTGTGACCTTCCCTTGTTGCAGCAGCAGCTGTGCCATGGTTGCGACAGCGATGTCGCATTCGGGGTCGATGATGAGCGCCTTCTCGCACAGCTTCTCGGCGTCGTCGAAGTCGTTCTTCCATTGGAAGAGCGCGAGCGCCTTGTTGATGAGGGGCAGGACGTTCATGCCGAGGGGCTTGCTGGTCTTCTCCATCTCGACAGCGGTATCGAACTTCTCGATGGCTTCCTGGTACTTTTGCTGGTCGAGCAGTAGTTCTCCGTAGTAGTTGTATACGTCGGGGACCTGGGAGAAGTTCTTCATGCAGCGGCGGAATGTGGCCATTGACGAGGCGATGCTGCCCATCTTGTATTGTGTGACACCGAGTTGGATGTGCGAGAAGATGAAGTCCTTGTCGAGGTCGATGGACTTCTGGTAGTCCTTTGCGGCCTCGCCGAACTCGGACTTGATGAAGTGTAGTTGTGCGCGGTGGTAGAAAATGTCGGGGTCGCTGGAGTTCTGTTCGAGGGCGGCGGCGAAGTCGGCTTCGGCAGCTTCCGGGTTGGCGAGCTCGAGGTGCATGCTCGCACGCTTGATGAAGCTCTGTGTTAGTGTGGGCTGGAGCTCGATGCTCTTGTCCATGTCCTTGAGCGCGTCTTCGTTGTCGCCTTTGAGGTAGCTAAAGGTTCCGCGCATGTTATACGCGAAAGCCTCGTGCTCACCAAGGTCTCCGAGCTCGACTGCGCGGTCGAAAGCTGCCGCAGCTTCCGTGTATCCATCGCCGGTCTTGGTGGCCATGGCCTTCAGACCCTTGCGCAACTGGCCCTTTCCGCTCTCCTCATCAAGCTCGGCGTCGTCCTCGAGGCCCTCTGGTGTTGGCTTCGGTCGGAAGCTCTGGAGGTAGTTTGTGACGAAAGTTGGGCTGGGCAGCTTCTTCTCCTTGGAGGCGAGAATGGCCTTGCCCTTGGCATCGGCGACCTTCTTAAGCAGACGCTCGACGCTCTGTGCGCTGCTCTCGTTGCGGAAGCCGTCGATAATGCAGCTCGCAGTGTAGTCGAGGAGGGCCTCGCTGTTGCGCTCGACCTGCTCGTATGCGTTCGCTCGTCGGTTCAGCGCCTTTACGTATTCGTTGTCGAGGTTGATGGCGGCGGTCGTGTCCTCAATGACCTTGTCCCACTCAGACATGGCATTGTAGCAGGCGGCGCGGTTCGAGTAGAAGACGGGGTCTTGCTTGCAGAGGATGGCCTTGCCGTAGAGGTCGATGGCGCGGTTGTAGTCCTTGGACCCGTAGGCCTTGTTGCCTGCAGCCTTGAGTTTTGCGGCATAGTCTTTGCGGTCCTACGGATCGTCAGTCATCGCCCTTGAGGGTGATTTTACAGGACATGTGTCGCACCTCGTCCGAGAGCGAGCCCACGCTGTTCTCGTCAACCTCTGGGAGCTTGTCTTCGGTTGTTTCTGCTACAGATGCCTTCTTCTCTATTTTCTCATCAGTGGACGTCCTTGTCAGAGAGCTGCATCGACCTACCAGACTCTGCAGACTTCTCTGGCGCTGAGTCCTTCTCGGCCCTCTCCTTTGCGCGCTTGCGCTCGCGTTGCCTCTTGCGCTTGGTCGCCGCTGTGTCTGCCGCGCTGTCTCTTGAATCATTGGAGAAGTAGTAGACAGCCCCACCAGCACCGACAACCAGTGTTATACCCGCAATCGTGTACACGACACCCTTGTTCTCTGAAGCCCAATTGCTCAACCGATCCCACAGCGAGTTGTTCGTGTCGACGGCAATTCGGACAGGTGGCGGCGAGGGAATTCCCTGTGGTACGGGTGTGTTTACTGGCGCCATCTTTTCCAAATCTGTGGGGGTGATTTAGTTGGATGGGTGGTTGTCGAGCACGCTCTGCTGTGCTGCTCAATGTTGTGGTGTGTTGTCGCAGATTTTGGCTAGGCAAGCTTGGATCAATGGAATTAACGTCAGCGCCCGCGCGGAACGTCATCATGGCCGTGCCGAAGAACCCCGTTGTGGACCCACACCTCACTCTTCCATCTCTTCTCCCTTCAGAGTACTCACAGTCTTGGTTTCTTTGGCTCATGCAAGCACTCTATTTCAGGGAAACACTAAACAATAGTCAGAAGTACATAATATAGAAGTCTTCCCTACCTAGGTATCTTTAGGAGCTGGCTGAATTTCATTTTTTTACTAGAATAGATTGCAGCGCATCTATCCAGTTTCTTCCTTGCATGAGGTACAAGAAATGAGAATGCTCAATCTCGCGCGAAGAGGAAGAACTTCCAGAAGTCGACTTCTTGCTCACCAGTTTCGGTCCGTGAGACCTTGGGCTTCCTGTTCGCGCACGACACAAGACCGGTCTCCAAGTATGTCCTGTCTGTGCTATTGCAGGCTGGTTCACAAGCTACGAAGTGGAGATGAACATTTGGTGCAGAGAACGTTTGGTGCAGACAAGAGGACTGCGACTTGGATATTCAATACCCTCATCACATCAGCTCAGCCAGACTACAATTTCACTACGATATGCAGATGACCGTGTTGCAGGGGAGACGGACTTCACCATTATGAGGAGACCACGGTATGCGAAGACCAGGTGGAAGGTGTTCATCAGTCATGTATGTGCGAGGCTGGTTGGGCTTTCGAAACCTGTTATCACACATGCATCATCATCCACAGGAAGAAGTTTAAGGGGGATCAAGACGCGGAAGCAAATTGCAGATTTCAAAGCGCTCAGGGGTCGCAAGGGCCAAAGCTGACGATATATCACACCCCAAAGTGGTACTGCTGGCGGACAGTTTCACTGATAGAACATATACATTATAACTATCCCAATACATCAGCCCATACACCATAGTCTGGCATAGCTGCGTTGACGGTACATTGGCATCGTGCCAAGTGAGCTCACCTACACATGCCCAAGTGATGTTACTCATCCGTGCAAGCTGTGCTTCAACCCCTACACCACACTCTCTACTATGTCCGAGACGATGGCGACGAAACAAACAGCGGACCACTCCGAGGCCAACTACAACCCGAGTACATTATGCAAGGAGTCTGGGATGATCGCATCTCTAAGCGCACAGGTTGGGGACTGCACTGGTCACGGACGTAAGACATATAAGACAGAGAGTGACCCGATTCTGGTTCCCAATTCCTTCTCAGGTGATCAGACATGCATATTCCTACATTTCTATAGCCTTTCTATCAATCATGAAATGCAGTCGGTCTTGCCTCTATCATAGAATCCGCGGATCGCAGAAGCAAGGGCTCTGGTAACACCTCTAAAACTTCTCACAAGCGGGCCTCATGTCCAGCTCATGTGTCCACAAACAAGGCTTCTGTTGATGCAGCCAAAGATACGTCTCACCAACAGCATCGGCGCTCATCTTCTTGCCCACCTTTTGATCTTCTCCGTCTTCATCTGCAATCGCACCATTACCGATCGTATGTACGACGTGCACGCCCTTCTCGCTCATCTCACGGGCCAGTGTCTGCGCTAATTGACGGACAGAGGCACGTCCAGCACCATATGCAGCGAACTGGGCACTGCATCGAAGCGCGCCGAGCGTGCCAGTGAAGATAAGCGTCTGTTGTCAAGAATTAGTATTGCATGCAACGAGCTAGTTATAACGATTCTGCTTACGCCCTTCTTCTCCCCTCCATCCATCAAGCCCGTCTCACCATGATCCGCAAAGAATCTCTTCAAACTCTCCTGCGCAAATGTGAACGCCCCTCCGACATAGGTCTCCAGGCTATCCTCAAAGTCTTCCCTCGTCTCTTCCAAGAACGGTTTCTTGCTTGAATGCTTGATACTGTATATCGCCAGCTTCAGGTTCAGCCCCCTGAAGCTCTCGTGTGCTTTGATGTCTGCAAATGCCTTCTCTAGAGATGCTTTCGAAGTGTCGCTTGGGAAGGCCTCGAGAACCGCATTTTCGTTGGCGGAGCGGACTGTAGAGATGACGCTTTGGAGATTTTCGGGGCGTCGGGCTAAGAGTGCGACGGCGAGGTTGCCATGGGCGGGTGATGAGAGGATGCGTGCTATTCCTGTTCCCTAGACGTGTTTCATTAGACGCGTGTGTTCGGTGCGGGGCCTGCAAGACGACTTACAGTAGCGGGTCCGGCTCCGATGAGAATTGCGAGACCTGATGGCGGCATTGTGGAGTTTGCTGAAGGTGTTTTTACGGTCTAACTCTTGTTCAGCGTATTGTGCCTATCTGTGTTGCTTTTGTTTTGTGGGTAGATATTTGAAGTTCCATCATTGCATCATACGC